CTATATATATATATATATATATATATATATATATATATATATATGTATTAGGGAAGGGTTCAAACAAGAACACTTTTATTTTATGAGAACGTAAAAACACTCTTTTACCATAAAGAATCACATATGATACTATTATTCAATCACATATGGTACACATGTGATACTACATCAGAGACGCCGGCGATTTTCGATACGATTTTGGTTGCGGGCCAAGTCGTCCTTACACCACTAAGCCCCCTCACATGTATTATCATATGTGATAAGGATGTTGTTGATATGATACTATAATCCATCAAAACCATCACATGTGATATTAAATCATAGACGAAGACAACCTTTGGTGCGCGACCTAAGTCATATAACACGTCGTCCGCACATCACAGGGTCCCTTCACATGTGATAAGGGTGTTCTTGCATTCTCGTAAAATGGAGGTGTTCTCGTTTGAACCTCCACCTATATATATATATATATATATATATATATATATATATATATATGATCAAATGCAAACCACCCATATTTGTGCAAATTATCTTCATTCATCGATTTCATTGTTTAGTCTTATAATTTTTTTTTCATGAAATTGTTTCATATAATACTTTTTTTGATTAAGTTGTTTCATATATATTTATGAATTGTTTTTATATAATACTTATGAAATTTTAATGAAACTGTTTAATGTATTTCTCTAAAATTAATATAATGAAGATGATAATATTTATGATTTAACACCCTCCACAATAAAAATGATTAATCAACATCTTATTATTGAATGTCAACATTAATAAGGTGCATCAAATCAATTCTCTTTCAAAAACACAACATGGTTGAACATGAGATTAAAAGTGATTAAGAGTTCATATCTATTCTTATACTTCTCACATGATCTTTCGCCTATATATATTTATATATTAGTGGGATCGTTTATTAAACACTTATCAAGTAAAAGTTTATTGGTTGTATCTTACTTACCTTATCAGGTGAATTTGACAAAGATCGAGATTCTAACCCCAATAAAAAACATAGCAATAACCGATAATTTTATTCTTCTTTAAATGATAGAAAAACTCTAAGATGGTAAACATTTAACAGGTAAAAAACGTTTACCAATAATCTATTTTGATGGCTGAGAATATTACCCGATAAGATACATGAGAATTATGACTTTTGTTGGTAAATGTCCGCTAAGCCTCATATTTTAAGAGGCTAGTAGTGTATGTGTGGGATACGATGAAATTTAAAATTTTATTGTAAATCACAAATGAAAAAATTAACATAATCTCTCATTAGAAATGAAAATCCGGAATTTACGTTTGAGTAAAATAATTATCGGTAAGCATACACACATTAATGTATTGTGATTAATATTTAATGTTACATAAATGTCATACTCTTGAAATTTAAGAGTTTTATCTGACTACTTTATAAGATGATACTGATAAGTATTTTATTTTATGAATGTTTTTTTGATTTGTATCATTCAGATATTATTTAATGGATTTCCATAAAAACTAGTTTTGTCGGGGCTTGGTTGATTTTAAACATATCCACTCCTTGATTTCAAATTTGATGGTGGCAGTGACGGTGTTTGAATTGTCGATGAAGGTGTCTAAGTTGATGAGCGGGTGTTGTTGGCGAGTGATACAAGATTTTACGTCATAATACTTAACATCTTTATCTTTTTATTTTTTAGTGATATATATTTTTTTGATAAAACCTTCCCCAAATTAGATCGCTCATTTAATTCAGAAAAATTAACTAGATTAACTGACATAAGTTTTCATGTCAATCATGGTTGGATAATTATGACTCGTTATGGACAATTAGGGGTCGTTTACTAAACACTTACTTGGTAGGTGCTTATCGGCTAAATTTTCTCATCGGATGAAAATGAGAAGTACCAAGAATCTTACCGGGTAATAGCGACGAAAATGATGAAGAGTCTTACCAGGTAAGTGAGGATGACGACTCTTACCCAGTAAATTGTTGCATTCTATATGTTTTGATGTACTAAAATCTTACGCATCAAAATAAATTATAGTGTTGACTCTTATCGATAAACGCTTACTGGGTAAACATTTGGGTAAATGACCCTTAATCTACATACGTTAAATCAAAGATCGATAAAACTATTACAAATGATTGACTCTATATGTATGTATATAGATGATTGACCGTGTGAGAATATAAATTAAGGTGGGAAGCTTAAGTAGGGATTTAGGCCCTTGATCACTTTTAATCTCACCCCACCTTATGAATTGTGCTTGATAAGGGAATTGATGCACTTTGATGCATCTTATTAGTGTTGATCTTCAATTAGGATTTATACAAGGGTGAAGATCCTTTTTTTACTTTGCAAACCAAGCCATTTGTATAAACCGTACAAACCATCCTCATCTGTCGATCTTATTGATCAATGACCATGATTAGAGGAGACTATTTATGAAAAAAAAAACACAATATGGTTCATTAATTACAAGACGTGAAAAAGACAAAACATCACAATAGTTAAGTCCTACACGTAGCAAGTGGATGAAATCGTGAAAATGGTGGTACCTTATCGATTTGGTTAACCGATAATTATGGTAATTATTAACTTCTTAATTTATTGGGTTATTTTTATTGGTAACCGTTTTAGTATGGTTGTTTTTCTATTTCGTTAATGTGTTCTTGTATTTTTTTTCATCAATGATTTAATTATGACAATTAGTTTTATTTACTGTGAAAATGCATTTATTTCATGTATTTCTCATCTTGATGAGATTGTTTATCAGATGAAATTGTTTCACAACAAATGTTTAATTTGATGAAATATTTTAATATGATGAAATTGTTTCATGTAACTTTTTTCTTGATGAAATTGTTTCATGTATTCTTAATCTAATGTAAAAATGAAATTGTTTCATGTATTTCTCATTTTGATAGATTGTTTCATAAATCTGCTTCTTGTGTTTCATGAAATTGGTACCTATAGAGAAAATCATAACAGTTCTTTTGTTTAACAAAATTATAATAAATTTTGTTTTCTAAAATTTAGCGGTTATAATTTAATATATCTGAAAATACAATGAAGATGATAATGTCCATAATTAATGCTCTCCGGTTCTCCACAATATAATGATTAATCAACTTCCATAATTAAAAAAAAGTGAAACAAAAATAAAAATTATGATTGGTTGAATGAGATTTGCATATGTTGTACAAATGATAAATTTTGCATTTGATCCCTCATGATTCATTTGTTAACCATATATTTGGTATTAACTATGTGAACCGATCATGACCCTTAATTTATTCAATCTTCGGACATCATTGGCATTTATGTAACAGTAGTAAAATGAAAACATGCAATGTCGTAATGAACAATAGTGAACATGGTAAATTTGGAAAAGATCAGAAGCTTCTATTATGCACCGATTTCAGTTCTCAGGAATCCCTCCTTCATCGTTTTTGAAACCGAAATCAATCACATTTTACTTGTTCACTACTGGACGGTTTTATTAGTTCACCAATGAACATTTATATGATAAGTAACAAAAGTCGAGTTATGAAAATTGTTATAACTAATGAACATTTGACTGATTATTTTTGTATTAATGTCTTTGGTTTATGCATGAATATCATGTGAACTGGGTTCACTAATGAATATATCATTTAAAACACCAGAAACGAATAAATCATCTAAACTAATATGTTGAATAATATTGTGTTTATTTTGATTATCCATCATCCAAATTAATTTGAACTTAATTATTGAGAATCTTGAAAAGTATGATATAATTATCATCACTAAAAGCAAACAGTTATTTTTTTTTTGTTAACATCCCATTTAATACAATGAAATAATTTACAAATGAAAACTAGATATGTACTTTAACTATTGACTCTAACATTTCAAGTAACAATCACAAGGATGATGCCTAATTGGTTTAAGCTTGCCTCCAAATGTCAAAAGTACCTGGAGGTCCCACGTTCAAATCCAAGAAGAAATAAAATCCTCTTGTGGCCATGAAGGTTCAAATGCGGTGACTCCGGTCTATCTGCAAAACAGGTGGTCACCCTGGGATTAGTTGGCTCACATAGTGGGTTGGATATCCAAGTTAATAAAAAAACATTTCAAGTAACCATTACTGAAGAATGATTCTGACTGGTCCAATGAGTTCACAAAGTTAAGACCATTTTTTCGTTGACAAATAATCTCCCCCCCCTTCTCTATACATACATATATATATATATGTATATATATATATATACATATATATATATATACATATATATATATATACATATATATATATATACATATATATATATATATGTGGAGAGAGAGAAGTTCAATTGCAAAC